TCGTAAAGTGTTCCTCCTTTCATCGGTGAGATCGCGAGCGAGAAAGCCTTTCCCGTCCCGATGATGCCACAGAGGAAAACTATAATGGGGTGTGTCTAAGGACACGAGATCATCGGATTCGTCGAGAAAAGCCTTCGTTCAGAAAGTAAGGGAAATTGGCGTTGCTATCAGAAGAAACGACGTGTCGTATGCACCGACCTAATAAAGGAAACGCGATACCAGATCGAAAGTTCGGAATGCTATATGGAATCTACTGCAGCAGCCAGCTGGCAAAAATTCCCAAAGCAGGACACCGGTGGTTCCACTGTAATTCCGGTAACCCAAAGTCGTTTGGAACAGCACGGTCTCTGAAACGAGCCTCTAGGGCTCCTTCGTTATAAATGCTCGTGTTCCCTCCTATCTTCTCTACGCTGCCGAAAGTAATCAGACAGTTTGTCAGCGGACTCGGGGAGTACTTGCAATCTGCGTTGAATTTCGAGCGTTTCAAGTTCTCTGACGCCTGGTGACGCGATTTCAGAAGGTTACAGTTGCCGTTGACGTTCCTGATGAGACGAGGTCGCGTTATGTTTGCTCTCGTTGTTCCTTAAACGAGGAAGAGTTGCAAAGGTAGAACCTAAAGGCAACTTATAATAGTCGTTTACAGAGAAGATTGCTAAAACTGTTCGGTAGAGCCCGCGGATATGTTGGAAGATTATTTTTATTAAGACAATGTTCTAGCAATGAAACGTAGATACGGCGAATGGGTAGATAGTGGCGAAAGTGTTCGTACGCCGTGTAAGAAGATTGCTTTTAGTAAGACAAAGTTCTATGAAAGAGATGTAAATATGTTCGAATGGTAGATAGTGGCGAAAGTTAAGTGTACGCCGTGTAAGAAGATTGCTTTTAGTAAGACAAAGTTCTATGAAAGAGATGTAAATATGTTCGAATGGTAGATAGTGGCGAAAGTTAAGTGTACGCCGTGTAAGAAGATTGCTTTTAGTAAGACAAAGTTCTATGAAAGAGATGTAAATATGTTCGAATGGTAGATAGTGGCGAAAGTTAAGTGTACGCCGTGTAAGAAGATTGCTTTTAGTAAGACAAAGTTCTATGAAAGAGATGTAAATATGTTCGAATGGTAGATAGTGGCGAAAGTTAAGTGTACGCCGTGTAAGAAGATTGCTTTTAGTAAGACAAAGTTCTATGAAAGAGATGTAAATATGTTCGAATGGTAGATAGTGGCGAAAGTTAAGTGTACGCCGTGTAAGAAGATTGCTTTTAGTAAGACAAAGTTCTATGAAAGAGATGTAAATATGTTCGAATGGTAGATAGTGGCGAAAGTTAAGTGTACGCCGTGTAAGAAGATTGCTTTTAGTAAGACAGTGTTCTGTGAAAGAAATGTAACCGTAAATGTAATAATAAATGTACGTAAATGTAAATGTTGTACGTTCTCTGAGATGGCTGTTTTCATTAATATTGCGCAAATCGTATTTTGACATGATTAATTAAAGTGCTTGCTGTAATTAACGAGGACTTAGATAGATTTTATTTATTTAATATATTATATACGTCGGGTTGGGATCGGAATTTTGGGCGCGTGACGACTCTTCGCGTGGACTAGCCATCGTTTCACAAAGCCGAGATTATATTTACACGTATCTACAAGTGTGGCGGATCGGTATCAATAGGACGCAGACAGGTCGAGGCATCAACGCGGCGTAAAGGGCTACATCAGGCCAACACCAGAGGGCTACGACGACAACGAGTCTGTCTATCTCGCTAGCGGTCGAATATACGGACGATTGATACAAATACCGCACCTAGCGAGACTACCTCTACGTCTAAGGCAAGGTCTACCGGGCATAGTCCTACTGACGAATCCACCGGTAGTCCCGGGACGAAACGCAAAACTCTCTTTTCATCTGCCACAATTGTTTTATGCAATTCTTTTAAATTTAAATGTATATTTAATACGTCATATTTTACATGGGTTGTATATCTATTCTACATTTTGCATCCACCATATTTTTATTATATATATGTCGGTGATGAAAGGACATCGGAGACTTCCCTTTGGAATTTCGGGAAAATTCCTTAACACCGTAATCTAGATTCTATCATAGGCGTAATTAAACAATTGTCGTCATTCGATCCGATTGTATTTGTTCGTGATAATGAGCTTGCATCATTATCGCGACGGAAAGTCATTCTCTCAGAAAGTCATTCTCTCGGTAGGTCATATTAGCGAGTTACTTAGTGTCTGTAGGGTGTCGATGGATATTCCACGTTTTAAGAAAGAGCCCGACTTAGATTTTGTGAGCATGTACATCTATCACCCCGTTGACCGCGGATTCGTTATTGAACCTAGGATCATTGTCATTAGTTTCTCGAATATCTAATTACCACGGTTACTTGTTAAATTCTATAATAATCGTATTTGCACTAGTCAATGTCTTCTCTATTGCATAACGACAACGTGTAATCCAAACGAAGATTCGTTTCACACCCCTAACCCTAATTCTAATATATTATACATATATATACATATTATACATATATATACAGTGAATTTTTAATTATGTTTCATAGTATGTATAACAATATATTTTAATGTTTGGAACCCTACTGATGTTTGCATTGCTTCTGTTAAATTTAATTTTCTCAAATTAAATGTTTTATCACATGTACTAATTTTCTTCTAAAGACTTCATTTATATTAATGATTACATTCTGCTTTTCATTATAACTAGTGAGATCAAATTATGTTACGACCCTTCGCGGAGAGACGCGGTCGCGAGGAAGACGCGTTAGCGAGAGGCATAAATTCTCGCTATGATTCTACTAATCGACGCCGCGAAATAGTCGTTTCCTTGTTTTGATTAAGATAACAGAGGTGGTTCAAATCAATTTATCATTATATTAACAGGTTAACATAAAATTGTCTAACTTATTACCTTAGTTACCTTACTTTATAATCTTAATTTCGTTAAACAAAGCAAGATTGAAACAATAGCATGGAGAAAATGAAAAATTACTTAAAATTACCGGTCGGAAATGACCAAGTGTGCAGAAGAAGGGTTAAGCGCTTTTTAAGTGCGTATTCGCTTTTAATACTATTATAAAAATAATAAAAGAGAAAAGTTATTTATTCCTAAGAGAAAAATGTGGTAAGAGAATTATTTTCTCGCGGTTGAAAATTTGAAGTCCATTGATATTTTCTCTATAATATACGAATATACGAATGAATATTTAAAATGTCGCGCAACGACTACTAAACTATTTAATAAACACTAACCTTACCAGGGCTAGCCAAATGACTGGTTTAAAGATCTAATTTAAAATTGTACATTTCTTTTGTTCATCTAGCTTTATGTGAATTGTTATATTCTCCGATTAATTGATTTCTCAACTATTAAAACCAGTTATGTGACCGGGCCTGATGAGATTAATGTCAAAAGCCAGCCTGAAATTTTCTTCAACTTCTGATCTTCGACTGATTTTCAGTATTTTGCCCCCGACCTTTCACCAGCAATTATATTTAACAAACGAAATGCAATGTAAGACTTGCCAACGTTTAGGCCATGTGACTTTTAACTGCAACGGACTGCCGCAGCGTTAAATTCAACGATAAATTATGATCCAGATGAATGTATTAATCCAGATTCCTGTACCGAAGAAAGCGAGGATAACACAAATCAACCTTGTTGCGTGTCGTGTATAAATTTTGATCATCCTGTTCACATCAAGATTGCTCTCAACGCTCATTGTTAGTGTTAAAGCGGCGATGGTAAAAGAAAATTTCGAATATTAACGAAGAGCGAAACAAATAAATACAATTCGTTCGTGAAACAAGTGACTCAAAAAATTCTTGCAGTCAAATTCCATCGAATAATAAACTAAATAATTGTCCTAAACTCTGTATTCCCTTATTTCATTGCGATATATCTGATGGCTAAATATGAACCACAACCCTAACGCTGTCCTTGGAGAAACGGCTAAATACTACAATACAAAGCTCAAACTCTAAACTTATAGGGGAAATCTTCACGTTTATACCGCAGTAACATATCTCAACAGTGAACCGGCTCCTCTCACTTCACTAAATAATAGAGCGACGATCCCCTAGACGAGTTCAGTAACTCGGCGGTAAGAACAGAGCATCGCTCGCAGCATTCAAGATTTCCAAACATATCCTACCGTCACGTATAGGCAATACGAAGCTACATCTGTATATCCATTATTAAACTATGTCTTGTTCCTTGACAATGTTTCAAAT